ACACACACACACACACACACACACACACACACACACACACACACACACAGACCTCAAACAGACTCACACAGGAGAGACATACGTGTAAGGTTATTTTCAGTTGGTGATACTCCACAGTTGGGGTGCTGAGATGGAATAGGATGCTCCAAGGAGTATTTCTATCACAGCTGGAGTGTTGGAGAGAAGAAAAGACTAGATTATCTTTGTCGGGAAACAGACAGGAGGGGAGGCGGACGGGAGGAAGAGAGAGATGCTCTTATCATCTTGTGCCGGCAGCATCTGTCATGCAAATGGAAATATTGCCAGTTAGTATAAATGACTGTTGTTTTTAAAGTGAGGCTAATTTAAAGGCTAATTATCTGTGTCATAACTCGGCCGAGTGCAATATTGAAACCATTATTCTGTAAACCAGACTGCAACCTCCCTTCTGCTCCCACACTCTCAATTTTTTATTGCTACTTTGCCGTCTCTCTTCCCATCACTCTTGCCTCCTTCACTGTCTCTTTCCTACTCCTTTCCTCTTTTCTCCCATCGTCATCTTTCCTCAGAGTACAATATCTCAGCAGCAGCCATCGCCATCTTCAGTCTGTTCTTCATGATCCTGGGCACCGTCTGTGTCGTCTTCTCTTTCGGGAAGGGACGGGACTACCTGCTCCGGCCTGCTGGGATGTTTTTCGCCTTCGCAGGTCAGACAGTGTGGCAGATAATGTGAATCACAGACCCGGCTCTGTCTGGTACTCTTGTCTCTTGCGTTACAGCTCAACCTGATATGAGGTGTGTCAGTGTCATCACCTTTTTCTTTTGTGATGAATACTACTTATGCAGCTAATTAAAAAGAGTCGACAGAGATGTAGCTCTGTTAGAGTAACCCTGATTGGTGTCAAGTCCCATCTAGCATCGCATTTATTGTTACAAAGTCAAAATAAAACCGTCAATCTTGCCGTGTAAATGAGGAACTGTAACAGCACTTGATTATATTGCCATGAATGTGAGTGAAGCATCTGCTTTTAACAACAACTCACTTCTGTTTCTGTTTTGGCACGCAGGCCTTTGCATCATCATTTCTGTCGAAGTCATGCGCCAGTCTGTCAAGCGCATGATTGACAGCGATGAGACCATCTGGATTGAATACTACTACTCCTGGTCCTTCACCTGCGCCTGCGCCTCCTTCACCCTGCTCATCCTCAGTGGAGTCGCCCTGCTCCTCATCTCCATGCCCCACATGCCACGTAACCCCTGGGAGACCTGCATGGATGCGGAGCCTGACACCTTGGAGTAGCCACAGGGGATTCCTTGTTTAGAGCGACAGAAATGCAAGTGGTTTCGCATCTTTTAGCCCTTTAATCGCATATCCTATCCCACATGTTTATCTCTACTGCAAGCCATTTCCCAAAGCATTCAAAGGTTTTTCCAACCTTCCATGTCCATTCATTTTAGATTATCTTAGTTAACCGGCCACACCAAAAATAATGACGTTCACGTTATCTTCACAGGGGTTAGCAGTTACAAGCAGGAATTGCTTTGTTTAAAAGCTGAGGAATGATTCATCCTTAGACTTAAGAGTCGTCTGTCGAGCAGCACCTTTTTTACAACAAGAATTTACTAAACTCACCTTATCATTTTTTTTATAAAGTCCATGCGTGCTTTTTAATTGTTTTGGGGGTATGGTTTTGTGACATCTCTTTTAATTGCAATGCTGTGTCTTAAGTTTAGGATATTGGAGCTTTCCACAAGCACCTGAACACACCACACGCCAAGCCCTGCTTGTAACTATCATCATAGAGCTCCTGTTTGAAGCTAGGTTAAAGATAACATTGTAGAATGAGTGTACAGGTCGAATGCATGCAGTTAGGTAGCAGGTAGGTAGGCCGTCCAATTTTTTCATGTAGGCCGAATTAATTATGTTTTGTGATTGCTGTGGGGATATAAGGAGAATTTCAACAAATATAACAAAAATAAATTGTGAAATACATTATCTTCCATCGCTTTAAGTTTTTTGCTAATGATTTAGATACTGTAATGAAATGAATTGCCACCAGTTAATCCATAAAAGTCAAGAAAAGTTCAAATTGAAAAGCCATATTTAAGGGTGTTGACACATTTTACAATACAAGGAATGCCACAGTGTTTGACGATCATGTTCAAAAATATAACGTCAAATCGTTTATTGCTAGTTTGACAACATCTGAACTGTCCAACTGCAGCTATGTCTGTCACTCACATGAAAGTCAAATGATGTTCAGATGCTGTTTTATACTGGACTAGACTAGAAAACAAAGAAAAGAATAAAACTATGACAACAAGCAGGTCAGACAGGATTGGACCCGAAGAATTATATACAAAAGAGGAAAATGTGCCACACTAAACGAGATAAAGACAGGGACCCATTGCACTGCAACGCTTTGTTTAAAGAGAAGTGAGTCGTTGTAAGGAGCTCCAGGCACTGCGGCAGCCTCGTCTGTCCTCCAAGGACCTACAATTAATCAATCCCACTAAGTGTCTAGAGAGAGACTACATGCCTGAGACTCCCTTGTTCACATCAGTCATTCATTTCAGATCGATGTTCAAGACCCCACCCCATGCTCTCGTGTGCATGTGTCCAATACCAGTAACCTAGTAACATGGTGTTACTTCCAAAACCAGCGGCATTTCATCATTTGTGCAGGATAACAGGTTACTGTGGTAGAAGTGAACAGGTTTGGGTTTGGGAAAGTTTACACTCCAGCAATCCCAGCAGAACGTGTTACCAGAGACAGCGTTAACATCCTCCAAACACATTCTCATCCTCACAACTTGTAGCGTTAACAGTGAAACGAAGGTAAGACGTTGAGAACATGAATAATATTTAATAATTATTTAATTATTTAAATAATTATTTATACATTATGACTTTTCTGGTTGATGAGGCTTCAGCTTCAGTTTTTTTATCACATTATCATGAATGTACTTAGTAATAAAGACAGGACAAAAAGCCAGCTGAAGACAGTATGAAGCTAAGGTTAGCTTAATTAGCTAGCAACATTGACGACTAAAAAGCCTGTTTTTGTCTGAAATCAAAGTCTGGACCATTGTTGTAAAAACGAATTTTGAGGTTAATCTTGTAAATCTGCAATAGTTGTTATTGTAAAGTGAATATTTACAGCTTGACAGGCACAGTAACAGTAACTAATAGGGGGCGCGGCTTAGCAAACAGTGAATTGAAACTCTGCTACATAATTGTGAGTTGTGAAACATACTTCACATGAAATATATCATAAACACCCTCAGAGAATTCCTTTCATAAAGATGTTTTCAATGCTGTATTAACTTGTGTTGTGCCATATATGCCTAAAGTTAAAATATATAGGATAAGTATGATGCCGATGACTTTTTCATTTAAGCACATATTGTAAAATGTTATCTTAAAGCTTGAAGATGTTACTGTTCTGTAGAAAAATATGTTGTTGCTGTCAGAAACATAAAAAAGGAATTCACGACAGACTTTCTTTTTAGTGGCTTTTTAATTCTTTTCATTTTCAAATCATCATCTTTTTAATAAAAAGACACAAATCACCTGACAGCACTCATTTTTATTTGTCTTTTTTCCTGCGTAGATTTCCTACAAGAGTCGTATATTGTTAGCAAAACAGCCATCTACGTCTAACATGTTATTTTGAGTCACTCTGGCCCTGAAGTCATTCAGCTGGCGCAGTGACATTAAAGTTCCATAAATGATGTTGTTTCAGAGCAAAACACAACAGAGAATGATTCAATTTGCTCTGAGGTACGTCTTTTTCATTTTTCTTACTGCAATCACAAAAGTTGCCTGGTCGTTACAATACGTGTGTGTGTGTGTGTGTGTGTGTGAGAGTTAATGGATGTACATCTATTCAGTCTTTTCTTTACTGAGAATTCATCCTTGTGTCGCCGCTCACACACTCACAGAGTCACACACTCACACACTCACACACTCACAGAGCCACTCCGGTCTTGGAATCTCTCAACCAGAAAATGTGGTAGAATTGAGAGACAACCCTATTGGAAATGCTCCAGAGGCCTTACACACTGCAGGTCAGGGCTTTTCAGGGGCGCGTGTAATAGATGCACAAAGCTCCCTAAATGATTCATGGGACCTTTACCTTCGAGCAATGACAGCAGCATGGGCAGAGCGTACACTATTTACTCTCTGCCGCCCACACTGGTTTTGATCCCTGGAATTCCTTCGTGGTTTTGTTTTATATTGTTTGCTCTAACACAATCTCTGTTTCCATAAACGTGAGAAACAATGTGTTTAGTATTATGCCAATAACACACGCACAAAGATGTGCTCATGGATCACACATTTAGTTTTGCCTTCTGTTAACGTGTGCATAGTCCTTAAGGCTATGAACAAATTAGTTAGAGAATATATGGAAATTTGCAGTGGATAGTTATTAATTCTGGTTAATTGGTTAAAGTTGAGGTTGACAGGAAACATATAATGTTGAAAGCCGTAAATTAAACACAGACAATTGTCCCTAAACAATTTATTTATCAATAGATTGCAATATACATCACATAATGATCTTTGAATACTACTGAAGAAGAAGAAGGAGAAGAAGAAGAAGATGAAGAAGAAGAAGAAGACTCCGCTACTGTCTCTCTCTTTCTCTCACTCATTCCTGCCTCTCTCTCTCCCTCTGACATGTTCTGTTCTTCCTCGCCATGGCGTCACTCAGTTTCTCTCTCTGCTACCCTCACACTTTTTCGCTTTGCATCCCCAGTTCTCTCCCTTCAACCCCACTTTTCTTTTTTGACCTTTGCTTTCTTTGTCTCACTCTTTGTGTTCTAATCTTTTTATCATTCTGCTTCATCTTGTATCTCTCTGCCTCTCTTTATTGCCAGGCAGCAGACTCCCCGTGCTCCCAGTTTCTCCTCTGTGATTCCTTCATTATTCACCCTGTTTCTTTGTTGTCCCCCTTCTCAGCTTCAATCCTCTCTTCCTCTCACTTTTCTTCGTTTCCTCTCCCCTATTTGACGCTTTCCTCTGCAGGCAGTGACAGTGAGTTCCTCTGCACCTTCTATTTATCAGCTTTATCACCTCTTCTTCTCCCCCCTTCCCTCTCCCCTCCCTCCCCCTCTGTATCTTTCTGCTCCAGTGCTCTCTCAAGCAAGCAGGCACTCTGCCGTCTAATGACTTGGATCGGTAGTGACTGTTGAGAGGAGATAGACCTGTAATAAGACAATCCAACCCAGCGCGAGAGCGCGACGCGCTACCAGCGCTTCATCTGTACAAACCTCATGCTGCACACTTCGCCCCCGGCCTGGAGGCAGAGGAGCCGGCGATGCATGGATGTGGAGAAGAAATGTCTTCTGGGTTGAGAGCGCTCCAATAATCACATCCGTTTACTGGAAGGAAAAGAGGAGGACAAGTGATATGATTTTAGAAAGGAGGGGAGGATTGTATTTCAACAAGTGAGCATTATGAAGAGTGGGAAAGTACGGAGACAAAGAAGTGTTTCATATATGTCAGTGAGCTTGGACAGTAGCCAGCTATATGTATGTGCAGGTTATTATTCCTGACAAATCTTGCAGCAGCACATTTCATTAATGGACGTCTCCACTCTGCTTTGGGGTGAATTAAGCAGGGAAATGATCAGCTTTAGTGTCTGATTTCGAATCAATTGAACACCAACAACGCCATCATTGGGAATTATCAGCTCGGGTAAGTATTTCCCAAAATATAGAAAGTATTCCTTTAATGGCAAATGATTACAGAAAGCGCATCTACAGCAACAGGTGTCAATCATGATGCTCACACTGGCAAATGTTATACATACATTTCCTCTCACAGTACTCAAAGGGAAGACTGGTTTCCTATCACTAGACTTAGAGTTCCGAGGGTTTGAGTTGGTGTGAAATATATATTTCAAACACAAACACACACACACATACGCACACACACACACACACACACACACACACACCTGCAAACACATGCTCTGGTCCTGCTACCATGGGCAACAGGAGTACTCAAAACTCCTACTGCTTTTTTTGTGAATTATTAATTCAAGTCTATTTTCACAATCAATAGGGAGGAGAGGTGGAAGAAAAGGTCAGGCAATAATTGCCCAAAACACACACACACACACACACACACACACACACACACACACACACTCACTCACGCACACAGGAAACAATTGTTAACAATGATGAGCATGGAGGCGTTATTCAGTCCGGTCCTTGTGGAGTAAAAGATTTGTTTATTATGTGTTTTTTTCCATTATGTAAGAGAGAAGAACGGGGACAGGAAGTAATGAATATAGTACCCTGACAAAGCCGGCAGCGAGCAATCACTGAGACAACAACCTATCTTGGAAAAGTGTTTTTTAGGAGCAAACAGCAATAGTGTGACAGTCATTTCTGTGTTTCCTCTTGTCTAAGTTTCTTTGTCTTTAATTTTGGTGTTGTACCTGTTGTCATTTACTTTCGTCATAAGAAAATGAAGCAATATCAGGTGAGAAGTGGACAATAACAGGAGCCTGATATTAGTTTGCTTATAAAGCTTAAAGCTGTGACTGAGCAAACAAGCATTTAAAATCACAACAGAGGAAAAACTGTCCAGTCTCATTCTGTTCATCTTTTTGAATTTAGAGTTTACTGTTTACTTCACTCCGGTTATCTAACTTCTGTTACAGTAGATGCTGCTGGAAGAGAGGAAATGAGTATGAGCATAGCAGCTCATCACAAAACCTTTAGGAATAAGTATTCAGCAATTAAGTCCACCTGCACAAAGAAGACCGGAAGTCTGAAGTTGAGGTCTCATGCAGCGTGGGATGGGAACACTTCATTGTGTTTTGATCGTCGAGGGGGTCTCACCTCTGGGGTGAATTTTCTCTCAAAGATAAGAATGACACATAACCTTTTTCCCAAGAAAGAAAACATGCTACATTCACGCCAGCCTTTCAGGTCAGAGTGGAAAGAGAAGAAAAAAAAAAAGTGCCCACTGAAC